TTTTTTAGAGACTTGTAATATTTTTGTTGCATGAGGTAGAAGATCCTCTTTCGCAGCCGATTTTTTTTATAGAAATAAACTCGTTCAGTCAGGGCTTGATATGAAGACGTGATAGATACAGGTCCTCTTCCAATATTTTTCTTTGGAATACGATTTTCCGTATGGCCACTACTCAAATTTTCTGCAAAAGTATTAACAGTTTCTTCAAGCTGTTCTTCACTTTCAAAAGTGTTAGCAATTTGTTTGAGTTGTTCGTCGGTTTCAATATTTGCAATTTTGTTCACCAGGCAAAAAAGATGTTGCTATGCCTCTTCTTGGTTTAATGCCAAACATGGTTTCTTAAGGACTTTGGCATATTCCTTCCTGATATGTATTGTTCTTCGAAAATTGAACAAAGGGCAAACCATCTGACCATTTATTGTATTGTTATTGTTCATCCATGCAGTTAACATATTCTGTATATTCTGATTATCCCTTTCAACTGAGGCTTGTGTTTGACAATGACGAGGCTTTCCATGAACTATCTTAACATCTTTCCACATAGTGCATGGTTCGGATATGATTTGATTACTAAATTTCCCACCCTTATCTGAATGCAATATAGCTGGAGCACCAAATGTTAAAAATATTTGAAGATGATGATATGATACTTCTTCAGCTGTCTTAGTTTTCAACGGTCACAGCTGGACAAATTTAGTTAAATTAGCTTGATACACCATTATGAACTTATATTCACCATCCCTGAGTGACAGCTGGTCTATAAGATCAACTTGACACCTTCAGTTTAACTTGGAACTGACCATTGGTTTCACAACAGTACCTTTCTTAAGTACACTATGCTGCATTTGACATTGTTTACATAAATTTAAATATAACATTACAACTTCTATGTAATATTTTATATTTACCTAGCAAATATTTAAGCATAAGTATTCTTCCTCCACAGCCTAGTCTAGTGTGAGTTTCAAATAGTACGCTGAACAATTCATCATTAGCAACATAATACTGTATAGTCGTTTCTCCTGCTTTTAAGGATACAATGAATTTTTCATCATCATTAATTTTTAAAATGTCAAAACATCTTAATTGTCTGTAAAACAATGGTGTGCTGTATTTAGTTTTTACAGAAATCACTTCAGAAAGTATTTTAGAGTACTTTACTTGTCAAAAACAAAAACAATTGTCTTCTGGTTTACTCACAATTAATGAATTTGACTTTTCAAAGAAAAGTTCACAATTCACTGCAGTATCTATTCAATATAAATTAGGGTATCGGATAAAAAAACAAAATTTAAGAAAACATTGCATACCATCAAACCTTGCATAAGATTGACAAGCAGTGTTCCAAAGTCTAACAAATACATGCCACATAACTTCAATTGCAGCAGAACAAAGGACTTCTCTTTTCAGCTTCCACTCTGATTGTCGACATACACCGGGGATGGTCCAAATGTACAAGAACATAATGAAATATCTGGTCCTTCATTGATGTATTTGGTATATGATGACATTCACCGGTGAATGCCAACATTCTCCAATTTCAGTTTTTCAGAGTAACGTATTCAAACGATGAACTAGTTGACAAGCTGATCGTGTATGGAGCTACAGATTGTAACGGCCACATCACTTGGCAGTAGTACCAAGAACGTTAAATGAATAGACGTGGTCTCTTGAGTCCTGTTGTTTTCCTTACGCAAATTAGTTCAGAGTTCAATCAGAGATAAATTAACGTGCTTGCCGCTGACTGGCCGATGTTGTGTATATATATGTGGAGATTGTAAATGCGAGGGAGTTTGCTGGTTTCCTTTTCTCTTTTGTTGCTTTTAATGTAAAGGCTACTGTTACAGCCTAGTTTATTTAAGATTAGTTTTATTTTTATATTAGTTCCGACACTTATTTAAGCAAGGCAAAGGATGCTTTTGAGACTGCTCCAATGCTAACAGGTTATGGGCCCAGCTCAACTTAGCTTTCAAGGAATGTAAGCGAAGAGTGCCGTTATCTGCGAAAAGAAGCTGGCCTATTTAGAAATTTGTTCAAGTGGTTGCGCTTACGCGTAACTAAGGATGTCATTACTATCAGAAGGGTTTAAATTATTGAACCATGACCAACTAGTACCGATGGAAAGTCGATATAAAGATGCTGTGCTAGACAGAAATTGTTGGAGCTTCACAGAAGGTAAAGAAGAAAAGATGGCTAAAAGTGCAACAAAGAAAAATCTGAAAACCTTCAGATCTTATATTATGCCTACAGGGATGCTTATTAACCATTCTGTGTGGTACCTTTATTTATTAAATATCATGTTCTTTGCACTTAAACCATAAAACAGCAATTTCACAAACTATTTAAAAAAGCATACGTTTAGAATTTCTGATACACCGTCTTTTTGTGTCTGGAGAAAAAAGGTTTTCTACATTTTCTATTGCGATTTTGAAATAGTTGTGTTTTTTAATCAAAAACTCATAAATGCTTTACAAAATATGAAATGGATAATAAAACAAATTCAAAATTTGGACTTCCAGATGCCCATATTTGGGCAGAGAATTATATTATTCATAATTTCATGGCTCTAGGTACATTTATGCAGATTTTCTTCATTATTTAACTCCTTTATATATATAACACAGGGTGATAATATTTGGTGGTAACAATTTGAAAAATGAAACAGACATTTAAAGTTTTTGATGCAAAATGTCAAAACAAAATTAATAGCCCTTCTGGGCTAATGCTCTTTAGGCTAACAAGGTGTGACAAGCTAGATTTCACTTTGAGAGAAACAGAGCCTTCACTATGTTGTATTATGGAATTAAAACTGAGTTCAGGCAATTGATACAAGAATGTTCAAATGGTAAATAAGCATGGGAGGTTCTACAGAAGCAATTTGAACCAAAAACAAGAGCCACAATAATCCAGGTTCTAGATTAATTTTTCAGCGCTAGATATGCACATGATAAAGAAATTGGGCTATTCATTGCGAGGATAAAAATGACTGTGAAGAAGCTGGCCGAAGCTGGACACAGCTTAGCAGATTTTTTTAAAGGTTTTCAATAATAAATCACAAATTTAAAGTGGATGATAAAAATTGGCAGTTCAAAGATAAAGAATTAATGTTAGTAGAAAATGATGTGTCAACTACAGATAAAGGAGGTTAACGCAGACAAGTTTAATTGGGTCATAGATATGGCAGCTACAACTAATTTCTGTAATAACAAAAATTTAATGATAAACTTTGAGGAAATAGATGATATGTCTCTAGCTGCAGGAAATTGTGAAAGTAAAGTATTAGGAAAGGGTACCGTAAAATTTGCAGTAAAAGTAGTCAACCGAATAAATTGGATTCAGTTAGAAAAGGTGTTGTATAATCCAAATCTAAGAACAAATTTACTTTTGGGAGCAAGGTTAGAAAAAGCAGGTGCCCATCTTATAGGTTCAAATGAAAGATATGGATATATTTTAATAACTGGGATAGGTTATGTTCACGAAAGACACTGGAAAGCTAAAAAAATGCTTTATCGATAACTCAGTAACAAAATGGCGGCGCAGGAAAGAAACCTGTAATGAGAAGAAAGGATTGAAAAGTCAAAATTGGTTTGAAGGATCGAAATTCCCCTTCCTTACAGCCATTAGGTTCATCTATTTTTGGTGTAAGGAAATGACATCTGTTGAATTTTGTGAACTCCAGATCAAGATGAACCACAGTACAGTTGTAGACTGGAACAGTTACATGCGTGAGGTGTGTGCCTCAGCTTAATTGCTACCCAATTAAATTAGCGGACCAAGTTATTGAAGTAGGCAAGCCTTTTCAGTAACGAAGTGTTTTCAGTAAAGAACGTGTTCTTTCCGCCACAATGTTTTTGGCGGATTATGCAGAGACTCAAATTATGTTTCTTAGTCGCTGTTCCAATCGATCGGCGAAAACCTATGAACATAATAAAGATAATATCGCAGAGGAACGTTTTTTATACGAGTGCTGGAAATCATACAATCATGAACTGCAAGATGCCGGTTTTGAACCTTTACTGTCAACCACAATACAATTTTGTGGACCCGGAAATGGGTTCATACACAAACAGTAGGACGGCTGTGGGGCTGCTAATGGCGTAATAAATGCCATCGGGCATTCTCGACAGCATTTTGATTCTTACTTTCCGAGTTTTATATACAGACATTTCACAAAAAAACTGAATTTTTTTCTGCATTTTGGAAGACATAAAAAATTTTATGGCCACCTGCTTATTGCAAAGTATATTTTAGCCTTTTTTTTCATAAATATACAAAATTGTATTATATTTAGATATATATAACATCTCTCTAAATTAAAATAAAATCTGAAATAGGTATTTACTATTATGTTTCCATTCATTATTTTAGCCCTTTTTAATAAATAATTAAAAATTGCATGATGGATTAACCTTTATCTAAATTAAAAATAATCTAAACATTATTTACTCTTCTGTCCCTTCATCCTTTTTTATATATTATAATAATAAAAAGTACTATAGAAAGTAATTTTTTATCTAAATTAAAACATCAATCTTAGTTATTTACTACTTCCTTTCTTGCATTAGGGTTGCTGCAATTATTTTTGGCAGCATTGGCATCAACAATAGTTTGGGGATTTTTTTACGGTCCTCAAAACTGAATAGTACCGATAAAGTGTTTATATGTTTATGCAGATATCCTATGCAGTACTGCTCTGTCTGATTCAATTGTTTGAGTGATACAGATAGGAAAATGATAGCATTTTTGCTACAATGCACAATGACCATATTTTGAAAGTGACAAAGACTGAAGGTTGTGTAGATTTATTTTCATTACATTTTTTATCACACCTTGTATGTCTGTCGGACAATGCTATTATAAAGAAATTTAATACCTGACATTTTTTAATTACCTCAAATTCAAAATAATAAATTTCATTTTAAGCAAATATCTCGTCATTATCAGAAAGATTAAAATAAATTAAATCATATTATTTTAACTGAAAATATATAAAAGCTTACCTTAAATACACCTGCAATGGACAGAGTTAGACTAGAGGTGTACACAAGTAGCAAATATTCACTAAGCTCCATAAAGAAAGCAAGTATTGATCCAGCTAGTATATAACCTAATGTTGTAAATACAACACTGACTTCCTTGTAACGGAACACTTTTTCTGATGTTGCAATCGGTATACCTAGAAGCAAAATATTCTCAAAATCATAGCAGCTCAAAAGGACACAAAAAGAACAATTAACCTCTTGCCTCATGAAATAAATCCAACATGGTGGATGAAGAAATGGATGAAAATGAAGAAAACAGTCAATGGTGTATGTACCATGGACTATTTACTTCCATTTCTTTATCATTAGCCTTGTATGATTGTAAGCAAAGGGGGTTAACTTTAAGAAGCACATAAGATACTATACTTAGAGCATTTTTCTACATAGCATGCAAAATTTATTATTTCTCTATTATTATTTTGCACTTTACCATATAAATGATTAGAGAAATTACACACAAATAAAAAATTAGAAGCAAAAGCTTACCTTCAAAAATTACAGCTAAAGGCAAGAGTCCTATTACCATCCATGGCTGAACATGGTAAATCATATCAACAGGATTTCCAAGCCCTTTGGAGGAAATAATAGTATTTATATGAACTTTATCAGAGATAACAATAATGGTTAATATAAAGATATACATAAGGGGGGAAGAAGGAAAAAAAGGGGAGGGAGTTGCTACTTATACAAAACAAATAGACTTCTTATGCTTCTCAGCTGCTATCTCTGACATGATTATTTATAAGAAATGGCAGTACATATTAGCCATTGTTTCAATAGTCAATAGACTTAGCCTCAGAAGTCTTTAAGCCGCTGTCATACGTAACACCTTGAACACTAAAATCACCATAATAAAAAAAAATTTCTCAAATACCTGGGTGACTAAAAAAAAAATCAGCTGAAAATACAAGAGGTCAAGATGGTAAGGAGATAGATGCAGAGATTTCAAGCCACACACAAATACATTCTACTTCACAATCTTGGTCGCTTGAGATTTTGTTTTGTTACGCTGATAAGAATGAAAAATCTAATCAAAAATCCACATTAGTTTGGTTCAATTTTGGTATCAAAATTCATGTCTATAGATATGGGGAAATTCACATTTATTCTGACACCATGCAGCAGGAATGCAAGAGAAAATATCAACAGTAACTGAAAAAGAAGGTAGGCAGAAGTGGGCTGAGATGAAGAAAGGAATCGTGTGTTCCTCTACATGAGATTTATAATTATGATTGCAGCAAATGACTGTATTCATAAAAACAGTATACCAATGAACCATCCTTTTTTGATATTTCTGATAGACATACATAAATATAAATGTTCAGCTTTCTGATCAGCTACTAGGTTTATAAGATTAAATAAGTATGAGGGTCACTCTGAAATTTTTGAAATATACATAGGCTTTCGAAGTTATACTTATGAAATTTTAGAAATGCTAAAGCTGTAGGCAAATTTTCCAAAGATTAAATACTTTAAGTCACTCATTTCTTGGAATCGAAAAAATGTATTTAAATCTCATCTTAAGAATGAAAATGATTCCGCATAACTTCTTTTTCAGACTAAAGAATAGCTAAAAGTAACACATAGCTAAATCAGGTAGATGTTCTATCACTTTGATGTGTTGTTCAAGAAAATTGTCAATCTTGCTGAATGAGAAGATGTATTGTCATGGTCGAGCACGAGTCCTCTAACATTCACTTCTTGAAGAATTTCTGAAAGACATTTAGTGGTGTACCAGTTAGCTGTTACCTTCTGCGCTTCCAGCTTAATGGCTTTGACCAGCCAGCACTTCCGAAGAAAACGACATAGGTTACTTTTTTCATGTCATGTTGTCTTTTCATTCTTGTAGGCTTGGGATCATCTTTAAAGATCCATACTTTGCTTTCTTGATCTATTGGGGCATCAAAAAATAGTATGCACACTTCGAAAAAAAAAGGAGAGTTCTACATCTTCCATTCTACTGGGCCGATTGACGAAATTCAAATTGCATTTTTGATGTCTCAAAAGCGCGGCTTTTTTTGCACAGTGTACATTTCATCACCAGTTACAATTTTAGTAATAATGTGGTGGCCACCATCTTTAAGTAATTTAAAGGTTTCTTTACTGATTCTGAGATGCTTCTGTTTTTTATGCTCAGTTAAATTATGAGGAACCCAAAAGAAAACTAGTGTTTTCATATACAATTTTTCATGAATACTTTTAAGTATGGCAGCGAATCTGATATTAAGTTCCTTCAGTATCATTCGGTAGGTGCAGCGATTATCATTGATTAACATTTTTCATATGGTAGACATATTATCCGGGATTGCTGTTGAAAATATCCTCCCAGTGTGTTCTTCATCCCGAAGAGAATTGCAATCTCTGTTAAATCTCCATTTTCCCTTCTGCTTAAACTTTTTTCTGGGCTAAACTATTGCAATTGGCCAATAAAAAATCATCTGGTAGGCTAAACTTTTTATTCTCAAATCTAACCATTAATTTTTTTCTGACACTTATTATCTACATGTATCTCAAAAATTTTAGGGTTACCTCCATACATGCTCTCTTGCACAGAATATGCTCATGAAGAACATTACCATTTGCTAATGCTGATACAAACAGGCTTATCATCTTTCATTCACAAATTAGCATACCTAAAATCTTACATTTCCTGAATCACCTCTGCAGTAATTAATAATAATATGTGCCTGACTTGAACACTTTTCGCACATATTTCACGCCACTTCTATGTGCACTCGCTATACTTATCTAGCACATACTGAGAGATAATTACTGTGGAATATTCTTCATTTGCTACGAAATAAATCACCCTATGCTCTTTCTCCTTTGATGGAACTTTTTCGACAGCCATAAAATGACTCAATTATGTGGAATAGCTTCTATTATGGAGATTGGAAATCTGCATCCACTGAGTAAGCTGCCTCAAACATCTTCAAAATTACACTTTCTATCACAACACAGATTCTCTCCTTTCCAAAAATTTCACAGAGATTCAGCAGTGCTAAATCACTTTCATACGACTCCTTCTTATATATAAAACTTGCAAATTGAATTACTGAACACAGGTTAAACATAATTAAAGGAAAGGAAAGAAAAAAAAAAAAAAAGAATTTTTAAATAAAAAGCTTCATTACAAAAGAAAAATCTTCATTGTAAAAAATATTCATTCTTATTTTTTCAAATTAATGCAATGCTTTATATTTTGCATTTATAAAATAATACCGATGACCAATAAACTTTTCAAACTCATGAAGCAGAATGCTGACACTTTAAAAAACGCTTGCAAGAACTACTTTATCTCAGGTTTTATTTTAGTTAAGATATTATTTTTATGTTAATTCTTTCCTGTACCTACTATTCTGTCATTGCCACAATGCAAATTACATTGAACATAAAATAGTAAATGAATTTGTAGCCCCACAAAGTAGTTAATCCTTTATCTATGTGCCGATCTTCATTTTGAGTCTGATTTTGTGTTTATTAGTGCACAGCGTATAAATTAAGGTAACAGCAGTCAGCTAAATGAGATATTGAATATAATATTCTATGTTGTATGTAATATATATGAGGTATGTTTTTAAAGTCAATACCATTTGGAAATAAAAAAGAAACAAATAGAATTTTCTTAACAGTTTTATTTTTATATAAAAGCCTGTAGCTCAATCTATCTTCCTATATAATTTCCACCAATAATAAGGCCCTTATCATATTATACAACCACTTTTGGAATCCCCTCTTCATAGGAGTTTGCTGCCTGATTTAACACTCCCTGCAACATGGTCGTTTTGACCTCATCATCGTCAGTATGATGAAGACAGCCAAGATGCTTCTTCAAACGCAGGAACAGGTAGTAGCCACTGGGCACTAGACTGGAACTGTACGAAGAGCGATCAAGTTGTTTGCGAAATGATGCAATCTTAAGTTCATTTAGCAGCATGTGGAAAGGCATTTTCAAGAAGCAAAATGATCCCTCTACTCAGCATGCCTCAACTTTTGATTTGGATTACGTGGTGCAATTTTAGACTCACAACTCACAATATGTCATTGAATTTATTGTGTCACCCCAAGGCAAAAAATCCTTGATTCTGCGATTCTGTAAGCAATCCAGATTTTGTCCCCTGTCCCAATTTGGGTTAAAAAATCATTACCTTCCTCTGTGTACCACTGAAGGAAAATTAGAGCACTACTTAAATGTTTGGTTTAATGCACCTCTGTCAAAATTTTCAGTACCCAGCATGCATACAATTTTCAATAATCCTCATAGTTTCATACAGAACACTGACTGAAACCTGAGGGAAGTCATCAGATAATGATAAAATCATAAAATGTCTGTTCTGTTTCACTTGTTTATCAACTTTCGGCACCAAATCTTCAGTAATGACAGAAGATCGCCCACTTCATTCATTATCATGAACAATCATGCAGTGATCTTTATTTTAAAAACCTAGTTCATACTTAAATACCTGAGAATCATTTCTGAGACCCCATTAATAACAGTGACTAGATTTTGTTAAAATTTAATTGTATTACAAGTTAGATTTTATTCATCATTTTAGTTAAGTTATTAGCTCTTGTCTATATTCTTGAAGCTAAAAATTCTAGTAAATAGAAAGACAAGAGTTTAAATACAGGAAGGTTTAATTTTAAACTTTCATTTATACATATTGAATATGCAAAAATTAAATACTAATCAGTTTTATAACATAGATGAAATATGTACACTGTACCCAATTCTTTTCGCTGCACAACCATTTGGGCAAGAGTCCAACGCAAACCAGCAAGGAAAGAGGCACTGAGTACAAGCAGGAAGCCCTCCAAATTAAACTGAGTAGATTGGTATGTGAACATAAATAATCCTGCAGCTATTAAAACTACCACAACAATTAAAGAGTATCTCTGGAAAAAACAGGGGGAAAAAAATCAAACTTCTACCAAACATAACAAGCACATATTTGTATAAAAATTAAGATCATATGATTTATTTAAAAAGAAAAGATATATATTCAATAGCAAAGAATTACACATATATGTATAGTTAAGATATTGTGGTGTTACATTTTATAAACCAGAAAAGACAGCATGTCCTAAATAGCTATGTAATATGGAGAAATTTTATAATGAGTGAATAAACATTTGCTACATATTCCAAAACAAATCAAATGTTATATATACATGTCATTTGAACTTTATGGAAATGGTTTTCTATTTAAATTTTCTCATTAGTATTTTGGGATAAACATTTGACATTTTTAATACAATTGTCTGTTACAGTTTATTTTAATTGGAATACAGAATAAGAGATTCATTTTAGTAATGGCTTCTAAAACTAATAGATGAACCAAATCTGTTAGTTTTAGGAGAAACTAATAGATGAGCAATAATAAAAAAAAAACTAAAGATTAAATATACTTTCTAATTGTACCAACAAATTGAAAGTGGTGTAAAAATTGAGGTCATCACATTTTAAAGAAAGATACTTTCTTAATACATTAAATTTGAAAAGGAAAACACAGTTCTTTCTTGATAACTTAATTGATAAAGCTATATAAAAATAAATTTTCCTTAGATCTTGAATGAGTATTTCATTTCACAAATCCCTAATATCTTCTATAATGTTGAAGAATTTATAAATGTTGTCAATAATATCATTTACATTTCTTTAAATATTTTATGAGTAATTAACTGAGATAAGAGGACAATGCTAAATTAATCTCCAATTTCTTGTGTGAACTTCACCAATTTATAACATATTTTTGTCAATTTGCACAAAGATTTAATATCTTTGAACCTAGTTGAATTGATTTTATAGGTGGATTAATTTTACAATGATTACTAGCAGTAACTTCTTTTAGTTACCAAGATAAGTTTTAGCTCCCCTTTGGGTTTAAATTAAATTCTTCATTGGGGTTTTTATTTAGCACTTTGGGTTTATCTGTTTCTGTAATAGTTTCCTGATCAGTCTTGCTTGCTGTAAGAATAAGAGTTCTAAATGATACCTACTTATCAAGTTTTAAATCTAATTAATTGAATAACATTTATCTGTTATATGTGATTAAATAGAAAAAACCTTTCCTTTAAATAATGCTATCAGCAAGAAAAGCAACCATACAAAATTAAATGAAGCAGAATTTAGTACAGTGTTATACTTATCTTGCTTGTAGGCTTGAAATTAACACATTACTCTTTGTGAGAAAACTACTAAAAGTAAATTAAACTTATAATAAAAAGTTCTGTTTTAAAATTTAAGGCTTACAAAACACCAACTCTCTCAAAAGAATCAAACTAGTATACAACATAACTCTAAAAAGAAATGTATAAGTTTCTAAAAAATCATTAAAGTCCAACATTTCCACTTCTAGTAATGCTCAGAACTCTAGATATTATTTTCAATTGATTCTGTGAGAAAATATTTTTCAGTAAATGGCCTCATCTAGTTCCTGTATGAGGTTTCCATAGAGCAAAATCAAGCTTTAAAAAAATATGAGTCTTTTAAAATGCTGAATCAGACATCACTATTTTTAATTGTTTTAGTAGAACTATTTGGCAATGGTTAATCAGCCAGAAGTATCTAACCTCTTCCTCAAATTTATGCATTTTATGATAGAGCAATCGATTGTTCACCCTCCAATGATAACAGTTAGTACTGAATTTGGATACAAAAGAAGTAATACAACATGTACTGAATCCTAATGGTCATGTATTTTGTTACTGGTAAAAGACATAAATATAAAGAGACAAACATTAAAATTTTGTCTGTATTGCATATAAAGGCATATAAATTAAATTCAGTAACATCCTATACATTTGTTATTGCTCTCAAAGATCTCAACAAAATATTTCTTCAAAATACCATTCACTAACAATGTATCTTTATAAGGATGTAGCTAGAATTAGTTGTGATATTGAAAGAACCATATGATGCTAATCAATGTTCATTTTTAATAACATGAAAACCTTCAAAATTGACATTCTAATGTCAATAATAAGTATAATACAAAAACAGCAGTTGCAGCAAACAATATCTAATGATGCTTGCTTATGGATAACTTTCAACATGTAATAGATTTCTACATTGTCTGATGCTACTGCACAAGTTCTTAATGGCATTAATATATTACACAGATAACAGTTCTGTATAATTTAAGTATTAATGGCTTCCATATAACCTTTATGTTCACATTATTAGGATTTCCTGAGTTCTAACAGCAGTAATCATTCCACAAAAGAATTTACCCCCATTCCACCTTTTGTTATTTTGACAATCACATACAGACTGCACTTAACTTTTTCCAGGCAGACGTCCCATATATACATTCGCTACTACATTTCTCGCAACTGGATATCCCACCTGTGCATCACTGGAGAGAGAACATATGGAGTGCATTTTAGGCTGAAACATTTTTTAAGGACCACTAGATGGCAACCTGTGTTCATTACTTTTGAAATGAATATAGTTTTAGAATTCGGACCTTCAGTTTGATCACAATGTGCATAATGTTTGTGTCAGCTGTTGTGGAGGAGGAAGGAAAGCGTAATGCAAAGAAACATAGCTCGGCTCTTTAACTCGCCACGTGATATAAACATTCATGTTTCTAATAGATCTTCAAATCCTTTATTTAGCCACTATGTAGGGTTTCATTACAAATTGCATTGCTATTATTACTTATATTTCACATACTTCTCTTTTTATTTTGGAAAACCTTGAATTCAGTTTATTATGGCAAGCAAGCATTATTTGTCAGAGGAAGGATATACTCACATGGCAAATGAGCCAGTTAGTGACAAGACTGAGAGTGATGATTCATTTTCTAAAGAGTTAGGCAGCGATATTTCTAGTGATTCTGATGTTGGAGACTAAGCTCGTTTTCTGCCTGCCTTCCACTTTCCGTGATGGATTTTGTTACCTTTTCTTGTAAATAGTCTTTCTTGTATTTTTTAATTAATTTTAAAAGTTTATTAAAGCATTTTGTTGATTAACACTCTGGAACAATTTGAATAGTGTTTCTGAAAAATTATTTTTCAAAGTAAGCAATTTTTTATACATTTTCATGTAAAGAGAAAAACATTATTAAATGCTAATTTTAACACAACTTAAGTAATAATTCAAAACAGTACCAAAAATTATGGTATTAGGACTTTTTTAATTTTTTTTTCCCCTAAAGTTAGGTTTAGCATCACAATTTGTATATAAAAAAAATTATTATCACTTTTTGCCAACTTAAAGTGTTCAATTTAAACTCCTCATAGCACTGTCCTTTTCTTTATTATACATCCAGATCCTTATGATTTTCATCAATAAACAAAATCAATTTATATTGTTCATAATCATAAGGATTTTCAGATTTAAGGGGGAAATTATTCATCTTCATGGAATATTTAATACCCTTTTGAAAGATACAATACCTTAATTAATTATATCTATATTTACATCTTAGTAAAATACCTCCATATATTAAATAACATATGGCTAGTGAAGAAATAGAACCTGTTAATATACATACTTTGCAGTCATTTCCTGTTTTCCAAAATTCACTTTGCCACTGTGAGCGCAGCGCCCCCCCCCCCCCCGGTGAGAAAAAATTTTTACTGGCGAGTCAGTCAACAAGAGTACGAGATGGAGTAGGTTTAATACATGAGTTTCTTTACATTGAGTGCCAGTTTTATTTACAGTCCATTTTAGAGAATGAGTCTATAACAATGTTAACTTTAAGAAAGTGAACCGGCCAACATATTGGTCCTTAACTCTTTCGCATCGAGAGGCGACCAAATCTGTTTTCAACAAACATCGAAAACGCCCATGTTTACAAATTTGTCTTGGAATAGTTTTCCTTTCCCCCTTCTGTGGTTTCATCCATTCATCCATTGTGTGCAGTTTCACCTTAAGGCCGGATTGCACCTGCAAACGTCAATAGCTTTCCGTATTTCCCCTTTATTTTTTGCTTCAAAGAATGATTGACATGTCTTTTAACAACTCGCGAAACCACTGACCATACACTAACATGGAGGGGAAAGAACTAGGTAGAAAATAAACGAGGCGTTGGGGCAGCTTGCCGTTGCCTGAATGAACGGGCGCTACGGGTGATTTCGATGCGAAAGAGTTAAGCCAGAAATAATTATAAATGAGAATCGTCTTCAAAGTGTATGTGGATTTGAAGGGTGTGGCTACTTCAAGATTTGAGAGAAGAATATTCAGCAGTCAAGTAGGTGATAATTTACTGAATTTACTGTTTGAATTATTTGAGATTTAATTTGAGCTAATAACTAAAAGTACTGTTGTGAACTTTGTTGTATTTCTTAGAAATTTGAGTTGTGTCAGAATTTAAAATGTTTAAAGGTGCAATTAAAGAGGATTTAAGGCTTATAGCCTTTGAAATAGGAGTTGAGCTAACAGATAAAATGACAGTTTTAGAATTAAACACAGCCATCAAAAACAGTGATCCGTATAAATCTGATCCCGATTCTGTAAATGAAATTGAAAAACATGATTATTGAGAGGAGAAAATCTGAGGAATCCAAACAATTAGAGCTTGAGAAAATTAAGTTAGAGCGTTCTAAAGCAGAATTAGAGTTGGTTAAAATACGTGCAGAAATAAAATCAGATTTTTCTAAAAACAAAAGTAATAATGAATCATTGGACACTTAAAAAACGCGTTTGTACTTTAGCTATGAAAATACCTACAGTACCAGAAGGTTGGGCTTTTTCTTTTCCTCTTTGGAGAGAGCATTTGTTTCTAAGGAAATACCGGAAAAATACAAAACGGAAATTTTGTTGAATTTGTTAGGTGATAAGGCATCTAATATAATCACTTATATAGAGGAGAAAGATTTAATTAATTACACAAAAGTAAAAGAAATAGTATTATGAGAATTTCAACCAACACCATATTTATGTTTGGAGCAATTTAGAAAATCATCCAGACTACAAATGAACTCATGTTCAGTTTGCTTCGCGTTTAACTACTAGTTGGAACTAGTATTTAAAGTTAAGAGACGTAAAGGATTTTGAGTCATTAAGCCACTTTATAATATCTGATAAAATTTATCAAACTCTTTATAAAGAAACAGCAACTCATATTAGTGAGAGACAAGGAGACAAGTGGTTTAAACCCAGTGAGCTCAGTAAAAAGGTGGATTTATTTTTCACATCTAAAGGAAAATCACTTGCTGTCAGTTCTAATAGTTATAAGAGTTCTTTGAAAAATGTTTTGAAAGTATTTCTTTCAGATATGTCCTCTAATTGTGTGTTATGTAAAACTGAATATCACCATTTATCTAAATGTCCAAATTATCTAAAATTATCAGTGAACGATAGGGTGTAAGTAGTTAAAAATAATATGTGCTTTAACTGCATGTCTAATAAACACTCTGTATTAAACTGCTCTTCAAAAATGTCTTGTTTCTGCAAAAAGAGGCATCATAAAACATTGCATTTTCCAAACCGAAATTCAAATGGATCAAATTCAAAAAATTGTAACGCGTGTAGAAAAAAACGAACTGGCAATTAAAAGTGAGTCAGCAAATATTGCTCAAGATTCAAGGCCATTAACAACCTCAGTGTGTGAAGATCGTAAGTTTCCTAATGCAGAAGCCCAAGAGTTTGTGCAAAGCTTAACATTCTTGAGTTATCATTCGAATAAAAAGAAAAATAAAGTGTTACTAAGTACCGCAATTTGTATTTTGACAGACGCAAACGGAAATGAATATAAATTATGATGCCTTTTAGATGAGGGAAGTGAATCCTGTCTATTAGGTAAATGAATCATAGATATCATGCAATTAAAAAAGGAAAAAGTAGATATAGTAGTTTGCGGTTTAAATGATTCATCTCTTAAAATAAAAACAAGAGTTAATGCAAATATTCATAACGAAAATAAGAGTTGTGTTAAAAATATAGATTTCTTGGTAGTTCCGAAAATAACGACAGACTTTATACCCTCACAGAGAGTAAACATTTCTCTTGAGAATTTTGGACATACAAAGTTAGCAAATGACAAGCTTAATATTCCCGAACATATTGACTGTTTGCTTGGCACAGAGGTATATTTAGAGTTGTTACAACCAGGTCAGATTCGATTTGATAATTCTAACATCATTCTGCAAAACAGTGTGTTTGGATTTTTTGTGTCTGGCAGTTATGTAACAGAAAAAGAGAGTGGGGTTCATTCTGGCATGACAAAAGAAGAGACAAATTTAGATACAACACTAAAGCAATTTTGGGAACTCGAAAACATTGAGGCTACAAAAACGAGAAATAAAGAATCGGAATTCTGTGAAGAGCAATTTAAAAACAACTATACCCGTGAAGAGAATGGGAAATACATAGTTAAAATGCCGTTTAGGAAAGATCCAATGTGTTTAGGGAGTTCGAAACACATCGTGCTTAAAAGGTTGAACTCGTTGTGGACTCTTTTAAGTAAAGATGAAAATTACTTTTTATTGTACTCAGATTTTCTACATGAATATGGTGAACTAGGTCACATGACTGAAGTGAAGGATGAAGATGAGCAAAAGCGAACATATTATATTCCACACCTTAGGATTATCGCCCTGAGAAAAGTTTGACAAACCTTGAGAGTATGTTCAATGCTTCGACTGCAACGTCAAAAGGTAATTCACTGAATTCAATTCAGTATAATGGTGGTGTAATACAAGAGGACTTTTTTTCAATTATGGTACGTTTCCGAAAACATATTTGTGATTTTACAGCGGGTATCAAAAAGATGTACCGAATGATATCGATTCATCCAGCTCAATGGCAGCTACAGAGAATTTTGTGGAAAGAGTCAGTTAATGGTCCAGTTAAATTTTTTGAGTTGAACACGGTCACCTATGGCACAGTAAGTGCACCTTTTGTAGCCATGAGAACATTACGTCAGCTTGCTACAGATGAGTTCACAAATTTTCCTTTAGCAGCTGCAGTTCTACAGAGTGATTTTACATGGATGATGTGCTAACAGGGTCCAGTTCATTGAGTTCGGCAAAAGAGCTACAAGCATGAATTAAATTGAGATTTTAAAAAGTGCAACTATGCACAAACTATGCACAAATGGTGTAGCAACAATCCTGAGCTTGCAGTTAACGTGGTTGATAAATATACATTTCAGTGCGCGAATGAAGTTTCAGCCTTTGGTGTTTCCTGGAAAGCAGATAAAGATTGTTTTAATTTTAAAGTGGAACTAGAAAATGAGCATGGACTTACTAAAAGGCAAGTTTTGTCGACAATAGCGAGAATCTTTGACCCACTTGGTTTATTGGGTCCCGTGATAGCTAAAGCTAAACTATTTCTTCAGAGACTATGGTTTTTCAAGCTCAATTGGGATGATCTTCTACCTGAAAAAGAAGCCAAAGAATGGCAATGGTTTTTCTCTGAACTGCCACATATTTGTAAATTAGAAATTAACAGATGCATTTTTGTCGCAGAAGCAATTGTTATTGAGTTACACAGATTTCGTGATGCCTCCGAGTTAGCTTATGGAGCTGTAGTGTATTGTAAATCTGTCTCCCAATATGGTAAGTAGTAATAAGGCTTGTAACAAGTAAATCAAGAGTTTCTCCTATAAAGCAAGTTACCATACCAAGATTAGGGTTATGCGCAGCTGCATTGCTTGCGAAATTAATGACTCGAGTAATATCTGCTCTGAAACTTAATGTAAATTAAGTACTTTTCTGGAATGACTCTATGATAGTCTTGTCCTTTTTCTGTTATTCATTGCAAGTGGGGTGTCGGAATCCACAAAAAGTTCCTTTTCCGTTTTGCTTATGTCATATACAGTTTACTTTCCGATGTCGGACTCCTCGCATAATTTTGAGACGGATATGCCTTTATCCATTTTTTGCAGCAATTCCACTTTTTGTTTGATGGACATCGAAACATGGTTTCGCTTTGTAGATCCTTTGGCAGCTTCAGAATTGGAAACTCTTTTTGACATAATCGAAAGTTCAAGCTTACTTTTTATAAAATTGCTCTAACAGTCTGCAAAAAATAATAAGCCGGATCCAATTAGAAGATTAAGGAACAGCGTAATCTGCAACATTAACTGAAATGACTTAGATAATTTTAGCCTAGCTTATACCATCTGTTATACATTAAACGCTCATGTGCATGAAGTTTGTAGCTTTGAGGTCCAGATTATAGATAATTTCGGATTATGGACATCCGGATTACAGACTTTGTACTGTATTGGAAAAGAAATTATTTGATTATGCAGTATTCAGGCACCAGTTGTGATAATACTTTTGAAGCATTGTTAGCAGCAGCAATGACTGAATGCTATCAGAAAGAGGTTGCAGAAAATAAATTTTCTGGTATATAATCTGATATACAATAAATTACAAATTTATTAAATACTATAATAAATACAAATTTATATTAAACTCCTTCTATATGCTGGTATTTGATAACTTATATTGTGATATAAGTTTTTAATTATATTGAATGAATTACTGTTTACTACAGAATTTTTTGTTTTTGTGCATTCTTATAACATTTAGCAACAAATTGCACTTTTCCCTTATGGCTAAATTGTGCCAATGCCATTTCTCCCACCCCAATGCCGCCACAGAAGATAAGTACCAGTATTTCAGCTATTAACTGATATAAATAGCTGATATTTTTTTAAGCACAGCTTAAAATAATTAATAAATAATTGAATTTTTAAAATATTACTGAATCATAACAGAATAATAAAAACTGAACATTTTATTTCTGTATAAAAAACAAAAATTAAGCTTTTTGTTAGCTGAATTATACATATAGGTTTTGTTTATAAGATTATAGCTTACCTTTTTTTCAAGTCCAAATAAAAGAGAAAATCCTAATATAAATATGATACAGGTAGATTTTGTCATGGTATATCTAAAATAGTAAGTTTACAAGAACAATTAAGTAACAGCATGAAACAATTTAGCAAATAAACACATAATTTAAGAACTGTACAATTAATTTGGTAGCAAATGCCAAGCTACAAATAACTTTGACCTTAAAATTGCTTATTAACAAATTTTTAGTTAATATTTACTTACTATTTCTATTTATAAACATGAAAGTCAAAACCAAAATTTAGGTTTATTTTTTACTGCCTTATAATAAATGCCTCAAGTAGCACACATGTATGTAATAATGAAGCAATGACAGTGAAAAAATATTTCAAAACTAATATCATAAGTGCATTTTATCCAATCAGTACTTTTTTTGGTGCTATAAATGCAAAAATATTTTATTTAAGAATACACCATAATCCACATTCACAATCTACTTTTAAAGAGTAGTTTATGTTAATAACTAAGAGGCACTTACAAAGATACTGTGATGAATTCAAAACTCCAGTTAGATAATCCTATGTCCAATGCACTGGCTACACCTGGAGTAGAAAGAGAAGTTACAGAATTTCAAGTCAAACTTTAAAATTGTACATGTAAACTACTAAGTAAATATATTTAAATATCAGTAATAAATTTTACAACTCAAAGCACATAAAAAATTACATATATAGCTGTGATGTATAGTACACATTCTACTAACCCTCTAATGGCCATGGTAGCATATTTGCTACCATATATTAAACACCACGTTTTTATACCAGGAATGCCATGCAATGTAATTTTTATGTCATAAATATATAGACTGAACCTTTCTCATGTATTATTAGCAAATTTTAGGCACAGACAGCAGCACCAGCTTAAAGAAAAAAAATTAAAAGCATGGATGCAACAAACATAGCAAGCACCTTTTCAGACTTAAGTTGTTTGTTTATTTTACAAACATTTTATTAATAAAACAGTTAATAATTACTATTTATATAAAGTAAAAGAGTTAGTGTATCACACAGTATAAAATATCTTTTACAAACTTATCGTTTTTAATGCTAAAATGTATTTTTAAAATCACGGTAGCAAATCTGCTACCATGGGCATTCATGTAGATATATTTTTCCTGTAAAAAAGTCTCTAGGAAAATTCATTTCGAGATTTAAGTTGAACATATATGAATGATTTGAAAAGTGATTTATCTGATATATCTGATGACTACTCTGATGATGAATATATGCCTACACGAACGTCTGATATCTTCCATGAAGGAAGGAAACTCAGATGATGAAGACCAAGATCATAATGAAGATGTAGAAAATGACATCTGATGATGAATATATGCCTACACAAATGTTTGATCTGTTCTATGAAGAAAGCTCAGATGATGATGAAGACCAAGATCATAATGAAGATGTAGAAAATGACCAAAATCCATTAAATATTGAAGAAAGTGTACATCTATGCAAGAGCTACAAAAATTTTAAATCCTCTTAAGGAAAAAAGAAACTAATCTTATGCTTTCATCAAATGATAACTTTCCTGATCCTACAAAACCTCTTCCATCTGCTCTTGCATATTTTCAGATTGTCATATCAAGAGATATGATAAAATTATTAGTTGAACAAACAAATCTGTATGATGTTCAACAAACAGGAACTTCTCTTATGGTGACAGCAAATGAAATAGAGCAATAGGAATGATTATTAGAATGGGATTAGTCCGTATACCTCATATTAGAGGATATTGAGAAGAGGGAATAAAGTACGAACCAATTGCAAAAGTTATGTCTAGAAAGATTAGAAAAAATCTTAAGATTTTTGCATATTGTGGATAATTCACAAATTGATGATGATGTTAGAAGTGAGAAATGCTAGAAAGTGCGACCATGGTTGTCCAGACTTGGAGAAACATGCTATCCTTCCAGGTGCGACCAAGCATCCCATTGATGACAATTATTCCATTGCTGGACAATCCATACAACATAGATGCCTAAAAAAACCACAGCAAACGGGTTAAAAATTGGGCCTGTGTGGACAATCAACTTTGTTACGATTTGATGTTTCACTGAAATCTGAGGTACGTTGAGATAATTGTACCATTACTCTAGCAGGTGCGGATCGTTTTTAAACACTCTAAATAACCCAACAAAACTACTATCCTTGCGAAGTACGTTTCTCTGAATCCCATTGTATGTGAAATGTCCAAGTTTGCCAAAAAAATAGAGGATTTGGTTGGGCTTGGAGAACACTATGAAATTAAATTAAAGAAAGAGGAATAAAAAGAAGGCAGAGATCCATTGATATTCGTCGCATCTGTAAAATGCAGATATCAAGCGTAATAAATATGTACATTAAATATTTGGTTTTTCAATATTTATTCTTTAGATCCACAAAACTGTGTGTGCATCACAGCAGTTAATAATTCCCACGGCAAAGATACCACTATTCCCTAGGGAATTTTACTAAGTTAATTAAAATAGACGAACTGTTTTAGAGCTTATCATTTGTAAATAACTGTACATAAACTAAACAAAATCTTAAAAAAAAATGTGTTTGTGAAAATTTTGAAAAACACTTGATTTGTATTGTAATCTGCCCATGGTAGCATATTTGCTACCATTAAAAAAAAAAATTTTTTTTTTCAAAACTTTTTGCCATGTTTGTTTTATTTAACCTAAAATAACACACTCTTTTAACTAACAAATAATTTTTTGCTCGGAAATTTCTTGTGGTGGGCATTAGAGGGTTAATGTAATCTGCATACCATAAACTATATACAGTATAAAGTCCGAGATCTGGAATTGTCAGGACTTTGGCAATTCCGGTTTTTGGAATTTTTCTGAATATTAAATCATCAGTTTAAAATGACATTGAGAAATTTTAAAATTAAAAATATTAAATAGTGTTTTATGAAATAACAAAGCATTTATGACCTTCAGGGAATCAAATAAAAAAATAAGCTATTTATTTGCTTCATTAAATATTTATTTTGGTACTTTTCTGTTAGCTGGGTGCAAGCGAAAAATCGCCAAATAATGTAGAATTTCGCCAAATTTCTTACAACTGTAAAAAGAAAATTCGTTTGTGGCCATGTGCTTTATTCTCTGAATTAATTCAAAACAAAGCACGTTCTCCTTTTTTTCTTCCATCTTAACTTTTGTTTAAAAAATTATCAAAATTTGGAATTTACCCACAACTGAAGAAGATGCAGTCTCTTTTTTTCAAGAGAAAAGCATATTGGAAAAGAATGCAACATGAGATCAGAATCATGAAATGAAACTGTCTTTTTGTGATGGAGTACGTTGACGGTGCAAATTTTCAACATGCCGCATGAAGAAAAGCATTTGCAGTGGTACGTGGTTTGAATCATCTAGATTAGGTTTTCTAACATCTTTGAGATTTATTTACGACTGAAGCAAAGAGATGACATCAGTCAAAGGTGTGAAAAACAGCTGGATATGAATCATAATACAGATGTAGATTGGAACAACTACTTAAGAGAAGTTTGTGTAGAAGTATTAGCAGAACGTCAGAAAAAAAAAAAAAAAAAAAAATCAGTAGTCCTGAAAAAATAGTTGAGATAGACAAGAGCTTATTTACAAAACAAAAGAACAATGCTGGTCGAATTCTTCCACAACAGTGGATATTTGGTGGCGGTTGCTGCGAAACGGATGAATGCTTTCTGGCTAAAGTTCCAAACCATTCTTTTCCAGTATTGTTAGATGCGATAACAAATCACATTGAAGAAGGGTCAATTGTCTATTTTGATTCCTGGAAGGGCTACTACACAACTAAAATGGAAGAAGCTGGTCTACAGAATTTCAAAGTTAATCACAGGTACAATTTTGTTGATCCTGACACTAGTCAGGATCAACAAAATTCAGAAAATCGAACGACTTTGAGGCAGTGCCAAATGGAGAAATAAAAAACATCGGGGAACTTCTCGCCGTCATTTAGAGTCATACATCGCTGAATTTATGTGGAGACATGGAGTAAATGATCCATTTAAGCAAATTCTCAAGGACATCACCGTATTCTGGAAAACCAATAGTTATAAGCATTCTTTATGGGTAAAACTGTTTTCTTTACAATTCATTAACATTTGTTTATAGTTAAACTTGTTTTGATAACTATTAATAAATATTTGTTTATAGTTGAGCGTTTTCGGCTTTTATTCCATTGACTGTTTTGTCATTCACTTTGCTTGGCGACTTGGCTTTCGTTTGGTTCACAATTGGTGACATTTGTGTCTAGCTAATGGAAAAGTACTTTTATTTCAACAGTAAATTGTTTAAAATGCTTCATTTTTTGTCCTAATACTTTTTTTTAATTCCACAGATAGACATAATTTCTTGTTCAGTTACAAAGTTGCACTGTTTAAGTCCTGCTATTGTAATGTCGAGAATTCCCACTAAATTGTCAATCGAAATATTTTCATATTAAACAACCTGTAAATCACTTTCTTCACTATTGGTGACCATATTTTCTGGATTTACAAACATACTAGATTTCACAATTTATTAGTTCACTGATAACTTGGGCACTGTCATCGCAATGAAAAACTCTGTTTTATCATTTTCATTTATTACCCCTTCTCCACAAATTCCAGTAGCTGGCAAATTTTGCTTTTTGTTTGTGATATTTGAAAAACCTTCAAATTTGCTACTAACATCATAAAGCATTAAGACACAATAACATGCCGAACAAATACTAATTCAGAAGTCAA